AACAGCAAAAATGATGTCTGTATCAAGGACCTATCGTTAATCAGAGGGAAAGGGATCACGAGGAGTATGTGGGTAGGGAAGTTAGGGAAATCAAAAGAAGACGTTCTTAGTGAGCGCAGTCAGCTCAATGAAGCAACTACAGCTTTAGAAGCCTGGCAGTCACATGATCAAGGAGATGGTTAAGCATAACCTTCATGGAAATTAGGCATTATAGCCTAAATGGACGAAAAAAACACATAAGATGCAGCAGGCGACTGGGATAGACGTACACAGTTTAGATACGAAGAGAAACTGGGTTTCGATAAATCTCCTGAGATAAAATTGTTAAGGGGACTTTTATTTCGTATTGAAGGTGCATGGGGAAGAGATTCGTTGGTCGATCTCACCAGGTGAGGACGGATGAATCCCATTGTGCTGTAGCCGTTTATACGAAAGCTCAGCCCGTTTTCACCCGAAACGAGGGAGGAAGTCTCGTGGACTGCGTCAATCTGAATATCGTATAAAAGCCAAACGATGCAATACAATAGGAGTCATCCATCCTCATCTGGTGAGATCGACCAATGAATCTCTTTCTCATACAATTTCATATAAAATCAAAGTCCCCCCCAACAATGTACACAGTTTAGTCAGGATAGACGAGTTTAATCAAAGAGAAGACCCGACAAGGCAAAGCCTAATATCTACAAGCATGTGAATCGGAGCCTAAAGGCTTTGCACAGTTAGACAAATGTGCGTATTACTAAAAGTTTGAAAAATAGACCGTGGTGTAAAACATATACTTGGATTCAATCTAAGATCCGATAAGGGAGATTCAGGTAGGAAGAACAAGTCGGATCAGCAAATCGAGAGGCCACACTAAACTTGTCAAAAGGGCAAACCTTTTGATGAGTGGAATGTAAACAAGTCAGAAGTTGTGATATGGCGTGAGTGGAACAAGAGGGTACAGATAAATGAGCCGAGACAGAAATAAGAGTGATAGCGCAACAGTTTTGGCAGTAAGTTTGGTCAAGGGGTTGAATTCACTTGTCTCTTTGGCAAATTGTAGCTTGGTGCTGAGAATGGCAAGACTTACTGTCGATCCAGACTAAGCTGAAGACGGAACGTTTGGGAACGTAAGATGGTCCAACAAGGTGCGTCATCTAGGTCGCCCTGACAACACGACCAAGTTGTGAAAACGCGATAAAAACCACATCTAGGCCCCTTTGGTTTAGGGAAAGCTCAGTTATATTTCTTAATGGAGTACTACATGTAAACAATAGTCATTATTACTTCCAAAAAAAATGATTTAAAAAACGAATGCATTACTCACTAAGGTATCTTATTCGAATAAATAAGTTTTTATAGGTCCCATTTTATGTTTCTTTTAGTCAAATAAATTGAATTATTGGTTAATCTTAAATTAGCTAATCTGTTGAATGCTTTGTACCATCGCTTTGCAATCTTTTCCTAGACTTGAGTTTTCGTTTTTTAATAGTTACTTTTGAGTTTATGAGAGTGATAATACATATACAAAGATATAATGCATTGGCAATTATAATACCATCAGTCGAGCCAAATTGCCACTAATATATCCTTTTTTAATCTTCGGTTGTAGTAAAACGATAAATGTAGTTATCTAAAATAAACGCTAGATTGTCAAATATAAGCCCTTTGGTATAGATAATGTTGATGCTAGGTGATGATGTAATCTATAGATCCTGGAAAGGTTATTTTTTTGTTACCACAAGAAACAATACAAATGGAAAGATTTAAACTGGGATACTCTCAAAGTTAGGGCCATTATGTGAAGTGTCATCAGTTTAAAAAACACTAGACCGAAAAACCAAAAAGGGCATGGTCCAAAACGAAAATAAAAGCACTAAAGGTTACTAACCGGTTTTGCAAGGTCCTAAATATGCCATCTCATCGAGTTCGGCATCAAGAAGAGGGTCCATATAGCAAGTGTATGTAAAGTCAATTGGGTGACCCTTTGAATTCAACCACTTAGAGTCGGGATATAGCTGGGTTAGGCGTCGGAGAAAGTCTGGACGGAGGACTCCCTCAGATTCAGAATGGCTTGCGAAACCACATCCATATTTGTCTACGAAAGTTGCCAGAGAAAAAGCGCAGTCAGCCAGTTGACAAAGGACAGCCTCCGTCAACAGGGTACAGTGGCGGAATCTCCAGTCACTTTCTGAGAGAACACCACTAGCGTTTGAAGGCCTATTCGTCAGTGGAGAGGATACTTCAAGCGGCTGGCATAAATTGAAAAGGCAACTAAGTGCATTGCAGACGATTCCAAGAATATGCTTTCCACCATCTGACGTCAAATTAAAGGAACTTGTGGAATCGCAAACTATCTCATCAGCACTAGAGCAGTCACTACTAATGTTGCCATTTCCTTTTTCTGGCGAATTGGTTGAAAATATGTCAGATTCTAAATGCTTAAGTTCTGGATCATTGGATATTGGAGCACCTGCTATTCAAGTAGAAAAATTTGATGGTGGAAAAGTTAGTAGGAGATGACAGTAAATTAAGATAAAAATAATGTTTATTATATGCCAGGGTAAGAAGAGACTTATATAAACATACTTAACATAAGTAACGGCCCTTAGAATGCAATTAAGGCTTGCCTGTAACTGCGTTAAAATTAAGAGGCCTATTGGCCTCGTTTACAAAAGTATTTAGCATCCAAGTTGAAATAAATTTTCACGTTTATCTATGGCTCATCAGCATCCGACAGTTAATTACAAACAGGACCAAGCTTTATAAGATAACTAATCAAATTAAAGATGGATTTAAAGTGCGATCTACTCTGGTGGAAGAGGCCTTTGGGGAAAGAAGTGGAATTCATCTCATCGTGAGCAATGGAGCAACTAAGCATTATTTAGCCAAATTACAAACGGCATATATAAGTAGATTTCTTGGCCATTTAAAAAGACAAAGACCACTTGGTAGCATTGTAATGATATTATTAATGCGCAAAAGATATAAATAGGATTTTTTAAATTTAGTTTCAGTAATTTATTTGTAATAATCTCCTCTTTAAAGAAAAAAGCATATCCAAATTTTTGTGTGAAATAAGCTGTAATCGTATAGGTATAACTTGTGCTATTATTATTATTATTATTGATTATTAATTTGCATCTAATTTCCGTAAAGTATAGTATTTACCTTTAGATACACGAATAAGCAATAAAGAAAACCTCAAGGGAATGCAACAGTGTATATGCTATGTTGTAGGAGACAAAGAGTAACTGGGCTTCGATGAATCTCTTGAGATAACATTATTTGGGAGACTTTCATTTCGTATGAAAATGCATGAAGAAGAGATCTAACCAGAAGAGGACACCTAAATCCCGTGGTACTGTAGCCGTTTGGCTTTGCTACGACGTTCAATTTGACGAAGTCCACGAGACAATCTCCCTCACTTAGGGTGAGAATAGCCTGAACTTTCGTCCGTCATATGATGGACATCATCAGAGCAGGAATTGATTTTTGTAAAAGTTTCCCGTTAACACTAGATCGGGAAGAATATCCGGCTCAATCGTACCTCTTAATTAGACTCGTAATCAAAAGCAAAAAATGAACAGGCATAGATAGATATAAGATAGTTAAGCTAATTATCTTTCATAGTGATCCTGATACTTTAGATAAAGGGTGTGTGTTTGTGTGTGTTAACGTCTATACACAATACCGGTCCTAAATTGGAGTGATCAAAAAAGGGTAGCACCAGGCTCTTGCCGTAAATGCTTAAAGACCTGAGAAAAAAGCCCTGACCGAGACTCCTTAAGTACGTAAGAAAGAACAGTTTAGATAATGAGATGAAAGCTTTTAAATCAAGTTATAATGCCACCACTTTCTAACCTCTCAGTTTAGGGCCATTAAGGTTTAACGACCCAATAAAAGACATGATTGGGGCTGCGTAATCTGATATGTCTGGTATGGTTGATAAGCTTAATCTAACATAGAAGTGGGTTGACCTCGTTGTCGCAACTTGGTCTTGTTTTCAGGGAGACCATGT